TTGCTTAGCAAATGAATGAATACGAGCGTCAGGAACGGTCGTCCATTTGTGGGCGGGCGGGCGTGGCGGGCGTTTGGGTAAAGTTGTGGCTTGATAGGGCCCTTATAAGGGCACCTTCCTCGGGGAAACCGCTATGCAGCGCCTGCCCAGGGTCGCGGAATTCTATCCTGCCAGGCGTATCAATCCTACTCGTCTTGGGGGATTTATCGTGCCAACTGCCTTTAAGCTGAGCTTCCCGGGGTTTATTAAGAAGTGGCATTTTACTACACCTTACATATTTTTGAACTTTAGTTGACAAGGTCGCAATCAGGCGGTGTCAGCAGGGCGGAACGCGTCCTCTTCCGCCTCCCTCTCCTAGCCGATAGTGAGTGTAGTGATCGATTTAGGAAGAAAACAAGTAGTGGTGAAAACGCCACAAATGAGCGCACTCTATCCCTCTTGAAACCGCCCCGATTTGTGCGACGATACTGACTGTACGCTTCCGGATGATAACCCAGTGTGCGGCGCATCTTAGTGAGGGATTGACTGACGCCGCACGCTTTAATCTTCTATCCTTTCGTACAAATGGTTTCACTGTATTGACATCAAGGCGCCATCCTGTTGCACGAATGCGGCGTGATGAAAATCTGGAGAATAAAGTATTCAAAAAAATTAGTAGTAGGCGCCAAAAGTATAGAACAGAATAGACATTCGAGGTGATAGCAAAAATGAAATGAAGTGCTGAACTCGAGAAATACTGCAGTTTCTGTTATGAGTAGGACCTTTTTCATGAAGGGCAAGTGAAAGAACGGGACTGAGATGGTGTAGGGTGCAAATGGAGCCACTTACCACATTTTAGAGGTGAAATCCCGAATCAGTTCCTCTTGCTCAGGCTGAGCGAGTTTCCCACTTCGATCGAGTCTGTAAACTGGTGCCAGACTTGTCTGGACGCGAGGAAACTCTGAAATTTACATCAGCCGACCTTCCCGCCACCTCTCGTAGAGTGCGTGGCGCATCAAAAAAGGGAGCGATAGGCGTCGAAACCCTGAATTATAATAATACTCTAACACTGCCCTATCTCTTCATAAATGTCCCCTAGGTTATTTCTGCTTTTGAATCGTTTGTGCTCGTCATCAGCAAGAGCCCTTCTGCAAAAGTACTATTCAGCGGCAATTTTCTATCTGATTAGTCACTTTGAAGAGCTTCTAGAATTTCTTATGCTCATTGAAAAGCATGCGTCAATGGAGCAAACTAACACCTGCAAGCATGGCCATATGATCACTTTTTACAGAAATGAAAATCTTCTTTAAGCATGAGCAAATTCCACAACGAATGACGTCATCACTTTCAGGAGTTCAGCCTTAACGCTTTCCCGTACACGATTCCTTTGTCGGTATGCCAACAGGCAATGATTGCGTACGCCAACTACTCCCAACATTGGCCGGAATTTCACACTGTAAGAATATTGATTGGATTATTGATTGATTTTTGCTCGTTGGAGTTGTCTATCATGTGTGAGTAGATCAAGAACCATTACCCTGTTTTTCATGGTATAAGCCGCCCTTTGCTTCCAGCGCTGCGAATGTTTCGCAAGTCGTTTCAAACTGTCTGTTGAACACCCTGCTCCACCAGCTTGAGAAGACACCATCTGGTCCTGAAAAGGCCTTGAATAAGTGCAGCTCATTGCCAGAAAACGATACAAATCACAAACATTCCAAGATTTTCAATCTCGATTTTTTCGAATGTTCTTCAATTTCAAATATTACTTTTTGATTTTTCGAAAAGACGCATTCATCGGTATTGTCGCAGAAACGCACGCGCCGCTAACGCAGCAACTGCATTTTATTTTTTCTTTGGTTTATTTAAATTTTCTCGTTAGTTTCCAGATTCCTATTTAATGACGTCGTTCACATAGATGAGAACAAACCAAAAAGATGCACCGAAGGGAAGGAAAACCAAAAGTAGTTCTGAGGTAAAGGCAACTTTTCGAAGCTCCTACACACTTTTTATGCGAAATTACCCAAAATTTCCACTTTTTTTTCCCAAAAATTATGCTTGTCGAGCTAGGGAGGGAGGGCGTGGCGGAATAAGCACAGAGAAAAGGGAAAAGGCCGCGAAAAGATCAACAATCCTGACAAAAAGCAGTCAGATCAGTATACAATAAAATTTTTTGTCACACGACATACATACGACGGGCCAGTTGGCGACGGGGGCATTTGGACCTTCCCCACTCCCAGCGATGTGTCGACCCATCTAGACAGCCTCTACTCGAGTTGACAGGTTTCACCATGATGGCTTGAAGAGCTTGCTCCAGCTTTACAGGTGTTCACCAGTTTCACCAGAGTGACTTGTTAAACCGAACTGTGAGCGCGAAGAAAGTGCAAAATAGCGCCCAGTCGTCGAACTTTGCCCCGATTCTCCCTCCATTCAGCGTCCAAATACGACCCCCGGTCGGGTTCCCAGTAGGAGTTGTTGGGGTTACAACGTAGGACGTGCCTGTGCGCTTATACATGGGTGCGCCTTATGCCCCAGGAAACAGGGTATTCAGTTCTTCAAGAAATGTGAGCATTCCTACACAGTCGGAGCAATGAACGAGGCTTAACCCTGAGCCTCGTTCATTGTTCCGACTCAGTTCATGTGCGGTTCTTATTGTATTTCGTCCTTCATAGTAGCATCAGTTCATGTGCGGTTCTTATTGACCCTGACTGATGGCCGACCACGAGGAGCCGGTTATTCGAGGAATTCGAGTGTTTCACAATGTTCGCCATTGACAAAATTTTCCCGAAAAAATTCTAGTCTTCTATGATGAAAGAGGCTAGACTTTCCCTTGTGTTCTTTACTCATCTATTTGCAGACAAATGAAGTCAATATGATCGATGTCGAACATATCCTACGCGATACCTACGCTGAGATCGAGTATTTCGCTCAATTCGCAATGTCTCTACAGCCATTTGCTCAGCTTCCAAAGGATCAAAAGGTATTCCATCCTTCATAGTAGCATCAGTTCATGTGCGGTTCTTATTGACCCTGACTGATGGCCGACCACGAGGAGCCGGTTATTCGAGGAATTCGAGTGTTTCGCAATGTTCGCCATTGACAAAATTTTCCCGAAAAAATTCTAGTCTTCTATTATATTGGGCGCAGTTTGTCGACGGGGGGCATTCTGCTTTCATAGATGTGCCAACCCATCTAGGTAGCCTTTTCTCGAGTTGACACGTTTTAGGATGGTGGCTAGACGATCTTGCTCCAGCTTCACAAGCGTTCACAAGTTTTACCAGAGTGAGATTTGTAAACCGGAACTGGGGAAGCAATGACAGTACAAGATGCCCCCCCCGTCGACAAACAGCGCCTTATATTGTGCTTTCACGTGCTACCGTTCTATGGGGTACAGCAAGAAAAACTAAATACTAGGTCAAGCATACGGAAGATTGTGTTTGGTTCTGCTGGGAACAGACACTAGAGGACGGGCTGTACACTGACCTCCGTGAACGGTCCTTTCCATGTGCGAGGTGATCGGGGTGAATGGGTCCGCAGCTGCAGTTACCTACCACTTGAGATAATCGCCTAACATGTTCAATACCGAGCCCAAGCTGCCTGCCGCAGCCCAGCCGCAGGTGTGACCGTGGCCGAAGGCTTTACTTGTCTGCGCCCCCTTATTTCTGATTGTTCTCCCTCTCTGAGGGCATGTTTCGTTGCAGAACCTTGGTATCGATGCAAGTGTTGTCTATTAAGTATAGCGCGTCGGCGAGTACGGAAAACAGTAGCCGCGGGAATCACTAACCCTCTACCGTGAATTTTTGACCCTAGAATGTTTCATGCTAGTGCGGCTGCAAACCCTTTTACCTCATAGCAAGGACTAGGATCTGCGGATGTGGGTGTGCAGTTAGTCTCTAGGGATGGCCGACCACGAGGAGCCGGTTATTTGAGGAATTCGAGTGTTTCGCAATGTTCGCCGCTGACAAAATTTTCCCGAAAAAATTCTAGTCTTCTGATATATTGTGCTTTCACGTGCTACCGTTCTATGGGTACAGCAAGAAAACCCATAGAACGGTAGGTTTTGATCCAGACCACTTCATACGTTGGGGAATCCTAAGCGGGGTGGGGGTCGTACTCGGCCGCTGGGGGACAGGGGGGTCGTATTTGGTCTGAGAAAACTTTGCTTTTGATAGTTGATTTTTCTTGTTTCATGGACTCTATAAGGGGGGTGGTCGGATTTGCTTTTGAGAGAAATTTGCGCGTTGAGAAAAATTTTCCCCAGTTGTTGAGTTTTCGCGGTTTTTCTCGTTTCACATGTGCTATGACCACCCCCCCCCCTGGCTAGACAGCAAAATTTGCAGGGGAGGGGTACTAGAAAATTTCCGGGAAATTGGAAGAAATGGTAGGAAGTTGGGAAAATTTAGGAAAGTGGTAGGTAGTATGGGAAAGGAGGGAGGTCGTATCAGAGGAGGAATTTAGGGGAAGCGTACTTTCTAAAAAGTCTCCTCAACGGCAGGACGGTCCCTGTTTTGAATACATAATTGTAACGTATAGTGCCCATCACTTATCTTCTCCTCTGCCCTCATTTTGTCATTTCTCCAGTGTCCTTATTTGAGGGCCTGGGTCGACCGTTTCGTGAGAGTACTTGTAAGGGAATGGATATATTGATGAAGTAGTTAGCGAGCAAACATGTTACTAGTGCCAAAATGACGACACTTGACCCTGACTCGTGCGCCTCTGCACTGTGAGTAGGAGGAAGGTAGCGCACCATTCTAGATATGTTGGTAGCCCTCAAAAGTCTGTTACATCTGTATCACAGAAACAGCCCTCGATTCCATCAGTTTCAGTGGCTTCTATTCCGGAACTTCTGGCCGGGTTTCTTCGAATTGGATCGCTGTTTTCGCACATGTAAAGTACTTGGTTATGACATAAATGATGAGCGAACAGTGTGTACAGACGGAACAATTATGAACCCTCGAGGTGATGTTCTCAGGCTTGATACCGTATCCGATCTCAACGAGGAGCAAGTGAAGAGGTGAGCGTCTCCGAGCTCATTGTAACACTCCTGCGGACATTTTCACCATAAATCTATAGTGCTCGAAATAAATTCAAGTCCTTTCTTACATATTTTTTG